CCACTGCAGATCTGAGCCCACGCGAGAGACACAGAGAGAGAGAGAGAGAGAGAGAGAGAGAGAGAGAGAGAGAGAGAGAGAAAGGGGAGGGAGAAAGACTGGGGAGGCGTGTAATACTCAGAGATTAAGGAAGGAACAGAAAAAAAGAGAGCGAGAGAGAGTGACAACAAAAGTAGGTGAGTCAGAAAAGAGAAACAGACACACCTCACACGGGTTAAACAGTGACGGGGGTCAGTGACTCAACAGCTAGTTGAATTAACACACCCAGATTTTGTGTGTGTGTGTGTGTGTGTGTGTGTGTGCGGTCCTTATAGTCGGATATTCGCATGTTTTTGCTCTGGAGTAGGAATTACAGCTAATCCACAAACACGCTTCAGAGCCACGTTTTCTGAGAAAAAGGAGGCCGTGGCTCATCAAAAATCTATATAGTATGATAACATAATTGATATTATGGAATTAAAGCAAAAGAAACATTATGAGACATTAGGTTAAATGGAGATTTATTATGATGGATTATGATGGTTTGCTGTCACTCCCTCAGCCGTTGTATTAGAAACACTCACACAGCAGCATTAACTATTTTTCTGTAATTTAATAAAAGGTAATAAAGCATAATGTGAAGTACATATGCAACCCTGCACCACAAAACCAGTCATAGGTAACACAGGTATATTTGTAGCAAAAGCCAACAATACATTGTATGGGTCAAAGTGATTATTTTGACCCATATCAAATCATTAGGATATTAAATAAAGATCATGTTCCACGAAGATATTTAGTAAATTTCCTACCGTGAATATATCAAAAATGTATTATCATTAGTAATATGCATTGCTAAGAACTTCATTTGGACAACTTTAAAGGCGATTTTCTCAATATTTAGATTTTTTTCGCACCCTCAGATTGCAGATTTTCAAATAGGTGTATATCAGCCAAATATTGACCTAACAAACCATACATAAATGGAAACCTTATTTATTCTGCTTTCTGATGTATAAATCTCAATTTTTAAAAAATTTACCCTTATGACTGGTTTTGTGGTCCAGGGTCACATATAAGTATTATAAAACAAAGAATTACCCTGTCAATAGTCTAAGAGTGTCAAACTACTGAAAATTGATTAATTACAGAGTAAACAACTTAACCACTCACACATCACCGCTTTTTGCTTGAATCGTGATGACCTTGAAATGAAGATCTGTGAGTGAGCAGGTTTTTCAGCTGTGTTAAATTAAACTGCTCTTCTGTTTTATGACAGCTGCCGTGTTTACAGATAATTTGAGAACTAATGGGTCTGAAAATAAGGTGAATATTAAAAATTGAACAACAGTCTGCAGTAACTAATAAAAACTACACAAAACTGCATTACTGAAGTTCACTTTGACGCAACGAAAAAACGGTTTAAAACAAAATAGATGCGACTGATAAGGTCTTCACATGTTGCCGGTCACAAAAATACCACACACATGCGTCTTTTTAGCCTACACCTTCACATTGAGGTTTCACGCCAACATTTGCTTGATTTACTGTACATAAACCTTGTTGCAATGATGCATAGTCAACAAACACACAATCACAAACCAAAAATGAATCAACTTAATTAAAAAAAAGAAATTTATGAACGAATAATGGATGAATAAGAATTAAGAAAATGTATTTTTCTGTACATTTGAACTGAAAATATAGTTAACTGTAACTATAAAAAAAATTAAAATTTTTTTAAGCATTTGCAAAATGATTTTGCTGATTGATTGGTCATCTTTGAGGAAATCAAAAAATCTCAACTGAATTGTAAGACCAAAAAAAGACAAAACTGCATGCAAAAGCAAAACATACAGTGATTGGCCACCTCATATGTCAATCAAACGGTGTCCTCCATTCTAAATGGGCGGGTCTTAACCAGAATAAGCTGCTTATTCAGTCTGATGATCAAAAGTCTGTCTACGTAAGAGTGTTACATAACCTCTTACACCACTGGAACTGAATGATGACAAATTTATATCACATTATTATTTGGACAACTTTAAAGGCGATTTTCTCAATATTTAGATTTTTTTCGCACCCTCAGATTGCAGATTTTCAAATAGGTGTATATCAGCCAAATATTGACCTAACAAACCATACATAAATGGAAACCTTATTTATTCTGCTTTCTGATGTATAAATCTCAATTTTTAAAAAATTTACCCTTATGACTGGTTTTGTGGTCCAGGGTCACATATAGGTATTATAAAAAAAAAGAATTACCCTGTCAATAGTCTAAGAGTGTCAAACTACTGAAAATTGATTAATTACAGAGTAAACAACTTAACCACTCACACATCACCGCTTTTTGCTTGAATCGTGATGACCTTGAAATGAAGATCTGTGAGTGAGCTGGTTTTTCAGCTGTGTTAAATTAAACTGCTCTTCTGTTTTATGACAGCTGCCATGTTTACAGATAATTTGAGAACTAATGGGTCTGAAAATAAGGTGAATATTAAAAATTGAACAACAGTCTGCAGTAACTAATAAAAACTACACAAAACTGCATTACTGAAGTTCACTTTGACGCAACGAAAAAACGGTTTAAAACAAAATAGATGTGACTGATAAGGTCTTCACATGTTGCCGGTCACAAAAATACCACACACATGCGTCTTTTTAGCCTACACCTTCACATTGAGGTTTCACGACAACATTTGCTTGATTTACTGTACATAAACCTTGTTGCAATGATGCATAGTCAACAAACACACAATCACAAACCAAAAATGAATCAACTTAATTAAAAAAAAGAAATTTATGAACGAATAATGGATGAATAAGAATTAAGAAAATGTATTTTTCTGTACATTTGAACTGAAAATATAGTTAACTGTAACTATAAAAAAAATTAAAATTTTTTTAAGCATTTGCAAAATGATTTTGCTGATTGATTGGTCATCTTTGAGGAAATCAAAAAATCTCAACTGAATTGTAAGACCAAAAAAAGACAAAACTGCATGCAAAAGCAAAACATACAGTGATTGGCCACCTCATATGTCAATCAAACGGTGTCCTCCATTCTAAATGGGCGGGTCTTAACCAGAATAAGCTGCTTATTCAGTCTGATGATCAAAAGTCTGTCTACGTAAGAGTGTTACATAACCTCTTACACCACTGGAACTGAATGATGACAAATTTATATCACATTATTAAATAATAACTTCTTTCCATCACTAAATTTCCCTGCTCTCGGCAGTCGCTTCAACAGCGCCGACCTCTGAGACTATGAATACAGATATCAGAGCGCTAGAGGTCACATTAGGCTAGAATTTCAATATCTCAGGCATGTTTGTTTAAGATTAATCTGGTCGATTTCAGACCTACCTGAGTGCTTTTTTCTTTTATTGTAAACAACCTTTAAACCAAAGCAACTTCTAAAACACACACACACACAGAGTCATGAGAGCGAAACACAGGTCATACTACACTTATAAAGTATCCGTCAGATGCTGTAGGCACATCTGTTTACTAGCAAAACATCCCGAAGTGAATATGAGTGACTAAGACTGAACTTCCTCTGATAATCTGATGTAATTCCCACTGAACATGACACATGGACATAAACAGTCACGAGCTCTCAAACACAGTCTCATGCAGGCTAATGCTGTCTAGACTAATGTTTACTTACATCAACAGTGCTCTAAAAAAAGAGAACTGCATATTTAGCATAATGAAAATGAAAATTATTTTGCATTCTGACATTATTTTCCTTTTTTTTCAATGGGATCATGTGAGGATACACAACTTCTCTTGAATATTGACTTGCTTTTACTTAATAGAAGATTATCTAAATCTACAGCTCAATGAAATCTCAACAGAGAAACACAGCTGGAACACACTTTCCACTGAGCAATATGTAGGCTATGGTTCATCAGAAGTACCACAGCACAAACACAGCCATACTGAAGAGTGACCTACCAGCATGAACGTCAAACACTATAATGCTTCTTACTTCTGTAAACAGCAGCAGGCCTTTGAATCAAAGCATCATACAGCAGATCAATCCACAACCGCATTTACTTCATTTAGTTAACAACCCCTAACAGACAGGCAAACCAGCAGTATAGAGTCATTCCTCAGCATGTCCATGCTCGCCCCAAACCTTCACATGACCAGTACAGGCCAATCTGCTCCTCTGCACCAGCAGGGATGAACTAAAGTCAATAGTGGCTTCTTTTCAATTCATGAAAAGGAAAAGGAATTTATCGAAT